TGCCTGCAAATCTCTTCGTAACGCTGCTTGAAATCGGTTGTTTTCTTGTCGAATTGAAAATGTTCCAGTCTCTCGCAATCTATTAAATGTCAACATAAACACTCTTCGGTTTGGCACTCTTCTGTTTGGAAATCGTCGTGCATATTCTCGCACCGCCTTTAAAGCATTACCGTTGCAGAAACCGTATACAAAAACCATATCAGCATATTCACTATTAGAATACGTACGCGGCATATTGCAAAAGACAAAATTCATCTACTGTTAAAGGCTTTCAAAGAGCGACTGACAAATTCATAACAGAAAGTGGAAAATGTAATCAAATATGTCGGTGCTAGATATGGCAAGAAATGTAAACATTTTTTTTCGATTTCTCTGAAACGGAGCAAAAACGAGCATATGTCTATAGGACTTTTTTTCTTAGTTTTTTACTCCTCTACACGCTCCCGAAGTTTTGCCATTTAATTTGGAAACACCCTGTATAATTCTCTAGTAATTTAGATATCGAAAATTTTGTATATAGTCTATATTATATTCGCACATAAGATAATAATATAATTAATATAATAGCAATATATTATATACAGGGTGTCCCATTTTAATGTCCCATCTCAAATAACTTTTCTATTTTTGATTTTAGAAAAAAATGTTTCAGACAAAAGTTGTATGGCTTTGAGATTATTTTCATTTTTACGTTAAAATGAATTTTTAGTGTAAAAATGAAAACAAGATTAACAACCTCCAATGGCTTTGATCTTAACAAATGTTATCTAGTTCATGATCTTAAATAACATTTAAGAGGTTTTAATTGTCGATCGGACACCTTGGATAATGCTAAATGCTGGAGGTACTGTAACTTTCGAGCATCATAACTAAAAAAGTACTTGATGAAAAAATATTTTATTATAGTGTTTTGGAAAGTTCTTGAGGTAAGCTATAAGAATATAGAATGAAAAATAGGGGTTTCCATTCAAGAAATTGAATGTAACATGACCTTCAAGCAACTATTCAAGGTCAAACTAATGACATCATCTTATGTCCCCCTCAAAGCCATATAACTTTTGTCTGAAACATTTTTTCTAAGATCAAAAATAAAAAAATTATTTGCGGTGGGACATTAAAATGGGACACCCTGTATATATATAATACTCTTACAGCATAACATAAAATAGTAAGTATTTATTTCTGAATTAGCAGTTTAGTCTTCTTAGATATTAAATAAATATGTATATTGTTATTAAAAACATTTAATACATATTAATTTGTTACAATTTTGTTCTATTTTTTTTAACATAAAAATGAAATTGAGAGGAACAATTTGCAATAGCCTTGACTTCGAGAAATGTTATTAAGATCATGATCTTAAACAATATTCAAGAAATTTTAGCCGAACGGTCGAACAGCTTGGATAATGCTAATGCTGGCGATACTTGAAATTTGACAACTCATAAGTCATATCTCGAAAAAAACTTGATCAAAAGAAGTTTCACTGTAGAGTTTTGAAAAGATCTCGATATCAGCTACAAGAATATAGAAATAAAAAGATAAAAAGTGGAAATTTCCATAAAAAATTTTAAAGTTGACCTTGAGGACTCCATACTCAAAGTTGAATAAGTATATATAATTTTCTAGCAATTTAGACATATTCTACATTTACATACAGTTTACATTATGTTTACGTAAGATAATGTATATAATTATCTTATATATTGTATATATATATAATTAGTATGATAGCAATAGTATATATATATAGTTCTTACCAACAGAACAATAGTAAATATTCGTTTCTCTTTACATTCTGCATTGACAGCCTTCCTGACATATATCAGGAAGATATACATATTATTTAAAAAAATCAAGAAACATGTATATAGTTACATTTAAGATATATTAATATATTATAAGTTCTGTTTCTTTTTAGTTATCGATTTGTACCACAAAATCAAGAAAAAATTTGGAAAAGATCCCTTAAAAAATGGCTCCCTTGAAATTCATTGTAAGTTTTATTCAGTAATTGTTATACAGTTTTTGCAAGTAATAACCTGGGACATACTTTGAAGAAACTACGATTTTTATCAACCTTTTTAGGCCACATTTTCCTTGATGATGCTGGCATATGATAATGCTGAAGCTCGTCCTCCTCTACGTCCATCTCCAATGCTAACGGTAGAATATGGTACGTATATTTCCGAATATGTAATAAACACATATACAGTAAAGGATGCACCAATTATTTTTAAATTATATTTAAATTTTAAGAAAAACGACATCGAAGAGATAAAAAACGATAATTTTGAGGATATTTAAGAGCTTTTTTCAAATCTACGAAATACAATATAGCAGGAAAATTATAATCTGTTGTATTTTGTCACTTTCATAATGTTTCTTTAATTTAATATAATCCGATTATGCTATATAAGTATAAAATCACGTACTTTCCACATAATACAGTTAAGATGAAATGAAATGCTCTTTCAATGTATTACATAGGAAGAAAGTCATTTTTAAATTGTGCTGCATTTCTAAAACGAAAAATTATACTGAAAGGAAGCCAAATGCATCATAAAACTAAAAGACGATATTTCACGTGACACTAATGAAATTTAGAAAAGAAATTTGCTGTCAGTACTACAACGTCAACTCTCAAACTTGTCTTTTGGTCTCTTGGGCGTAATTTTTCTTAAAATTATGATAGTGAAATTTAAATAACGAATTTCGACAGGCAAAAATACATCGGATACGACTATTTATATATTCATGAAAATATAGTCAAAAAAGATCAAATTGCATCGGACAGTATAATTAATGCTGATTTATTTTACAGAACTAAATTATAAAAAAAAGCCTATTACTACTAATGAAGACGAGTGTGAGGAAACTCCTGCTCCTGAAGAGGAGTGTACTGAAGCAGTTACTGAAGAGGAATGTACTGAGGAAGTTACTGAAGAGGAATGTACTGACGAAGTTACTGAAGAGGAATGTCTTGAGGATATTACTGAGGAGGAAGTTGAGGAATGTACTACAGAGGAGGAAGATGAGGAAGGTAAAAATGAGGAGGAAGATGAGGAATGTAAAACTGTAGAGGAAACTGAGCCTCCTTGTGAGGAGGGAGGTGAGAAAATGGCAGGACACACACATTTCGTTCTTAATAAACATGATAAAAAGCCTCCTAAAGAGTGCAAGCAAATTACTCCCGATGACGAGGATGACGAGGATGGCGACGGAGACAACGGAGGCGATGGATGGAACGGAGGCAAGGGAAATAACGGAGGTAACGGAAGCGACGAATCTACTACTCTTGGCAACAGGTCCACCAAACAAACTCTTCCATCCTTACCAATACCACCCTTAGAGCAACAGCCTACTACTCCAGAGAATGGGTCCTCTCCTCCCGGTAATGGAGGCAACGGAGCCGACAAATCTACTACTCCCGGCAACGGGTCCACCAAACCAACTCTTCCACCCTTAGAGGGACAGCCTACTACTCCTGAAAACGGGTCTTCTCCTTCCAGTGACGGAGCAAACGGAGGCAACGGAAGCAACGGAGGCACCGGAGGCGACGAATCTACTACTCCCGGCAACGGATCCACCAAACCAACTCTTCCACCCTTACCAGTACCACCCTTAGAGGGACAGCCTATTACTCCCGAGAACGGGTCCTCTCCTCCCGGTGACGCAGGCGACGGAGGCAACAGAGGCAACGGATCTACTACTTCCGAGAATGGGTCCACCAAACAAACTTTTCAAATACCACCCTTACCAATACCACCCTTACCAGTACCACCCTTACCAGTACCACCGTTAGAGGGACAGCCTATTACTCCCGAGAACGGGTCCTCTCCTCCCGGTGACGGAAGCAACGGATCTACTACTCCCGGTAACGTGTCCATCAAACCAACTCTTTCACCCTTACCACCCTTAGAAAGACAGTCTACTACTCCCGAGAACGGGTCCTCTCCTCCCGGTGACGGAGGCAACGAATCTACTACTTCCAAGAACGGGTCCAGTCCTTCCGGCGACGGAAACGACGGCGGCAACGGAGTCAACGAATCTCCCGGCAACGGGTCCACCAAACAAACTTTTCAAATACCACCCTTACCAATACCACCCTTACCAGTATCACCCTTACCAGTACCACCGTTAGAGGGACAGCCTATTACTCCCGAGAACGGGTCCTCTCCTCCCGGTGACGGAAGCAACGGATCTACTACTCCCGGTAACGTGTCCATCAAACCAACTCTTTCACCCTTACCACCCTTAGAAGGACAGTCTACTACTCCCGAGAACGGGTCCTCTCCTCCCGGTGACGGAGGCAACGAATCTACTACTTCCAAGAACGGGTCCAGTCCTTCCGGCGACGGAAACGACGGAGGCAACGGAGGCGACGAATCTACTACTCCCGGCAACGGGTCCATTAAACAAACTCTTCCACCCTTACCACCCTTACCACCCTTACCAGTACCACCCTTAGAGGGACAGCCTATTTCCAAGCCCAAATGAGAATAATAGGATAATTTTTCAAACATCAATAAATAATTATTGGGGGGAAAGTTTATTTTATTATAGACTCTAGACCTAACTAAATAAACGTTTAGCTTATTATTCTTTGAACGCAATCATATAAGTGTTAAAGTATTCTGCTACACTTTTTAATTATAAAATATGGTCATTTTTGTGCACACCTATATCATATTTAGAAACTTTATTACGTAATGGGCTTATTGTATAAAAAAAAAATAAAAAATCAATATAACATTATTTTGAATTTTGTTTTGTTCTACACATATAAAATTATTATATTATAGTTAAATTATTGTATAATTACACGTATATTTGCGTGTGCACATAAATTAATTTGATATCGATAGGAAATTACGTTTGTACTTGTGCTATAAGTACATGTACAAACCATAAATCGTATGCAGTGTAAATAATATAATACATATAATTTATTATAATAAAAGTTTAAAAAGTTCCAGATGTAAGTGAATATGAAAGTTTCTGAAAAATACTGTCGTATCAACAATTTGTTTTTTATATCTAGAATATTTTTCTAGAATTTTATATCTAGATTATACAAGAATATTTTCATTTCTTTTCACTGTCTAACAGAACTTAGCCATCACTCTACTTTCAATTAAATTAATTCGTAATATATTGCGTTAATAATTCTGAATAATATTAATAACATTCAGTGTTAATTTAACTCTTAAATACCTTATCGAATGCAAGTGTTACCTATACATAAGGAATTGCTGTAAAATTTATGAGCGATTTGATGATTTTGGTATTTTTAAAAATTTATGTTAGATTATTTTTAAGTGAGTGTTAGATTATTGTCAAGTTTCGAATCTGGCATTTGAGCAAAAACGATTAAAAATCACTTATAATTACAGATATAGTATAATGATTGTGGCATAACCTATAAAGCAATCGCTCTCAAACAATAAGCGATTGATTAAATACAAGCAATTATCTGCAATGGTGGCAAAGATAGGCGCAATGTCTTTACAATTACATAAAAATTTTTAGAAATAAATAAATTTAATAAGAAAACTGAAAAGTATTATTAAAATTTAATAATACATCTTTATACATAAAATTTTGTGCCAGCATATTTAAATATAAAACTTTTAAAAACTTCGTAATATGCTTCAAGGAAAAAATCTTAATGTTTATTTATTTTTTTTACTCAGAAATAAGATACTAATTTTTGAAAAAAATATATCCATAATTCTTAAATTTTCTGCACAAATTATACATATATTTCTTTGTATATATGTGTATACACAAAAGAGCATATACTAAGTAAAAATTGCTTGTTGTCACTATTGCAATGATTCATGTATTCACCCGCAAAAAATGTACTATTAAATTTTAGCAAATTTTTCTATAGTGATAACTCAGTAAAAAATTATTGTAATGAGTAATAGCTCAAATTAAAGTTTAAACATTTTCCTTGTCAGCAAAAATAATCAAAATTGTATTACAAAAAATGTTTTACAAAATGAGGAACGTTCAAGATAGACTTTAAAAGTGAAAAAAAATTTTTTTTAACTATTGTTTTGCTCAGAAGAGTCGGCTTCCAGGTAATAAAAATGTAGGAATTCTTAAATTCATCCATTTCTTATCAAATCCATATTTTAAACATTTTTCTACAATTTTTTAAAATAATTAGGTATAGCGTTTTCAAAAACTTTTTTCAAAACGGCCTATTTGTATAAAATCTTTAACTTAAAAATAAATTATTGTAGAAAGTTTTATCAAAAGGAAAATTAAAGTGTAAACTTTAAATTTTCAAAGTTTTTTTATCGCTTAAAATGTACTCTCTAAAAGTGAATCAGTGCTTCAATGCTACACTTATAATTTATGTAATCATCAGTGAATATGATGATTATACTGATTCGCTTTTAGAGAGTATTCAATACTTATTACAGTTATAGGAAAAAGATATTGTTTCCTTCCTAATTGAATCAACGATCATTTATTTTATTAAATATGTAGAGAATAATTTAACGAGATAATGAGTTGAAATGTTTATTATGATGTTCTTCTAAATAATATATGCAATTTACACATAATTAACTTGTATCTGCTCATAGTGACATTTTCCTTTGTACACAATTAATATCACTTAAACTTAAAATTCTCTATATTTATTTTTTATTTCTCCGTAATATGTTAATGTAAATTATTCAATTCTGAGAAGAAATCAGTTTTGAGAAGGAAGTGAGTAACTCTGAAAAATCATTATAATATTTTAAAAAAGGATAAATAAAGTATTAAAGATAAAAATGTGTTCTTCAAGGATATATGTAAATTTACTTTATATGTAAATAAAACTGCCATATTATCTATTAAAAAATATTTTCTTGCTCCTATTCTCTATATGCATTTAAAAATGATGATTAGTTTCAACAACTTCTTGTGGAACATCCTGTACAACACAAAGGCATATAACAGAGCGGTTGTGCGCAAATTACCCAAATTATTCTTTTTCTATTTTTCTTTCTGACTTCCGGCGTATAATTCCTCTTGTAAATACTAGACTTACCCTACAATTTTCTGGTTGTTTAGATATTAAACGTTTCACACTCATATATTTTTCTACATTATACTTATCGTTAGTAATAATATAATTACTATGTAATTAACGTAAGAAAATGATATAATTAGTATGGTAATAATAGTATATATAATTCTTACAGCAACATAATATACGATAGTAAATATTCGTTTCTCATTGTGTCTCTATGCTAATAATCTTCTTAGTATAATAGCTATATATCTGGTACATATTATTTCTAAAAAGTCAGATATATATATTAATGTTTAACACAAATTAATGTATTGTAATTTTGCGCTATTGTTTTTTGGTTACTCATTTGTACCAGAAGAAGGTCAAGGAATAATAAAGATAGAAAAGCATTTTATTTCAACTTAATTGCATTATATGGGAAGTAAGTAACTTTATACTTATATAACATAAGCAGATCTTACTAAATTAGAAAGCGATATTAAAATTGACAAGATACAATATAACAAGAACATTATAATATTCTTGGCATATTGTATTTTATTAATTTGTAAAAAGCTATTGAGAATCTCCAAAATCATCGTTTTTATTTTTTTTGATACCATTTTTCTCAAAATTTTAAAGCGATAGCCAAATTTGTACAACGGATTTATGTTCAGTTTTTTTCAGCAGGCAAAAATATGTCCGAAATGACTATTTACATTTGTGTTACAAGAAAAAGTTATAAATTTTGTTGAATAGTAATTAATAATTATTTTTGTATATTCTTTTTAATTTTATTTTATTTTCAATTATACTTGTATAAGGTCTTTTCGTTTTGATGTTTTAGTAACTTTATTTTTTCAAATTATGTGAATAACATCCTTTTTATTTATATTTTTCTTTCATGTTAAAATATTATAATATCAAAATAACATAATAAGTTTATTATAATTGAATAAAGTTTTGTATTCTTAAAGAAGCATATTTTTAATTTAATTCAATTTTTCGTCATTATATATTAGGTGCACAAAAAAGTTCTGAGCTTTATATTTCATACAACCGAAATAACAATTTAAATTTTATATATCTTCCCGCCCTTTTGCGGTTTTAAAGCGTTAACATTTGGCCTTCTAAAATGCCATACGGTTTGGCGTTTGATGCACATAATCTCAAAAATCAGTAGTGTTCACAATGGCAATAACATAAGAGCATATTCGATTTTCCGTCCACTTCGCGTTTCATCTGAAGAAAAATGCTGCTGAAGCCACTGCAATGATTTGTGCTGCATATGGAGAGAACGCTATAAGTCATGCTACATGTAAAAGATGGTATCAAAAGTTTCGCCAATACTTCTATTGAAAGTCATCTTATCCGCATATGAGAACAAAATTGACATATGCCCTTATAAAAAGTCTAAATTAAAAAAAATTCTAATTTATGTAACGATTTTTCAATTTTAATAAATGACAGGTTAAATGCAGATAATTAGCCATGATAATAAAGATAGACGTGTTTAAAATAATTAAAATTAAGTAGAAATTTTAAAAAATAAATAAAGTTAATGACAAAACTGAAAAGAATATTAGAATTTTTTAGAGTTGTTTTAAAATTTGATTATGTGCAAAAATATTTATAATTTTTAAGAATTTTGTAATGTGTAAAAATGAGAAATAATTCTAATATTTATTTTAGTTTGCTCAGAAATAAGGTTTTTACTTTTAAAATATATGTATCTTGAATTTTCTAGGCGTATTATGCATTTCTTTGCACACACAAAAGTGTACACTTAAGATAAAAATTGTTTGTTATCGCTATTGTCATGACTCATATATAGTATAATTTTCTAATAATTTAGATACAGAATATTATGCATTTATATAGCATATATATGCATTATCTTACGCAACCATAATCTACATTATGTTTACGTAAGATAATGATATAATTATGGTATAAGTAGGTATGATGCCAACAGTATATAGGATAGCCCACGTAAAGTGAGACAAACCAATAACTTGAAAAATTTAAAAGATACGGAAAAATGTTTCAAACAAAAGTGGAACAGTTTCGAGGGGAATGTATAATATTTTGGTCACGTTGTTTTTTTTTAAGTGGAGACGATAAAAAAATACGAAGGTCCTCTCCACTTTTTAAATGGAATTATGTGATTTTTTTACATGATATAATTTCTCTAATAATTTTGCATATAAATGTAATAAGATAGAGATATTAGAAAACTAATAGTTTATGAGATATATATATATATATATATACACTTTATTCTGACAAACATAATTATATTGGAATTATAACTGGAATGATTACAATTAAGCGAGCGGCAGAAATGATAAGTGTGTTTCCGGATATCTAATAATACATATTTATAACAAAAGATACACTAATTACATTGTCAAAAACCATTTTGTAACACAAACGTAAATAGTCATTTTTGACGTATATTTATGTCTATTGAACATAAATCTATTGTCAAAAATTGGCTTCACATCTCATTGAAACAAATGACGTCAAAAAGATAAAAAACGATGATTTTGGGAGTTTTTAAGAGTTATGTTCAAGTTGAGAAAATACAATATAGCAAGAAGAGTATAACCTTTTGTCATATTTAAGCAAAGACGATCGCCTACAACACTGCTAATTGTAGTAATAATGATGGCCATGTAA